TCATTAAGTATTTTCACAGCATTTACTATAACATTTACAATAACTATTTCATAATATTTATAATAAATGTTTGTAATCTAAGATCACAAAAATATTTACAAAAATATAATTTAATATAAATCTTATAAATATTTATAAATATTTTGTAAATATTTTATAAATATTGTGTGCTGTCTGGAAAGTAATTTACAAATTAATAGCTTTAAAATTACAATAAAATTACATCACATAGTGTAGAATAGTTTTTTAATTGACAGCCGACATTTTTCAGCCATTTTTGTTGGGACGGAGATTTTGGAAAATTGGACATTTTTCCTTTTCTACTGTTATTTTTGCAGTTAGGAGCATAATTGATATTCTAAAACACATCAAGCCAATAAACAAAATTTAGTTCGGTTTCAAGATTAGACATCGATTTTCGTATGAATTTTACTTCAAATAATTTCGTAGTTTACGAAATTATTTGAAGTAAAATGTCATAAGGTCAGTATTAACTTCTTCTTTTTAATGTATAATACTTACTTTTATATATTTCATAAAATTTGAACTCAAACGATATCGTGGGATATTTTCAGACAAAGCAATTTTTCGAAGCATGGAAGTATCCCTCGAATAGCGACGATCAATCCGCAGTTTGCACACGCATTGTCTCATCCCTTACTAGAGAATTCCTAGTTCGAACATACTTCAATATGCTCCTATCTCCTACTCACTCCAATGTACTCATCAAGGCCTTTATGTGGCATTTACATGGTAGCATCAAGCATCGAGCGTTGAGCAAGCATACATGTATTAGGTTGTGCTAATCAATCTGGATCAGTTGCACATGATTATGTTACAAGTCATGTTACAAGTCATGTTACAAATCAACAAAGTCAGATATAATAGTGAATAAGAGTCAGTATCAGTAATTAATATTTTACACAATTCCATTTCTCTCCGGGACGTTCTATTTCTATAAGGGATAACTTACACGTCGTATGAATTGCAAATCCACCGGGATTACAAAAGCGATCTCAGGAATCATTTACTTATTGACCATCTTGTTAGCATCAAGGGTGTGTTCGGAGAGACGCTATTCTCGCTATGTAACGCTACAAACTGTTCGCGGAGCTACAGATAACGCTACAAACACGATTATGACGTCACTAATGGTAGCATGTTACATCACAACTGCGCGCTATCAACGCTATTTCTTCCGATGTAACGTATGATATAACGTTAATAGCATTAGAGTTTACAAATCCGTAAACCCTAGCGTAGCGTTGGTAGCGTTTAACATTCGTTAAAGTTAGATTAATGTTTAAGAGGATTCTGTTCTCGTATCACCAAATTTTTCTCTCTTAGAATTTTGTAAAATAAATGTACATACGTAATATATAAATTTCAAATTTTATCATAATGAATGCAATTTCAATTTTAATTTCTGCTGATAGCTCGCTACTAGGCTGGAGTGAACGTAATTCTTGCTTGTGTATCATTTTTAACTTTTCAAAGTTTCTGTGATATGCAACTGTTGTGTATTTGATTTCATTATAAATGTGAAAGTCAGAGATATCTTATTACTGGCAATTTTTAATTCCAGTGTACAGAAAAAAGTTTAAGAATTAATTATTTACTATTGCGACATAGCGCGGCAGGATATTCTACTGCAGATGCTTAAGATCCTTAGTAGATGTAGATATGCTTCTTCTTCTGAAATCGACAATGGATGTTCAAGAGTTCTTCCTTTTATCTAATTAATTTACTTAATGTAATTATTAATTTTTTGATCTAGTTTTTACATTGTTCACTTCAGTTTAGCGGCAAGCTATCATAGAGATTGCAATCACTGAGATTGTATTCTGTTATTTGCTACAAGAAAATAAAAAAATTACGTTACAAATACTTTACAAAACCTTTAAAAATTTTAGTTATATGGAAAAGTTTGATTGATGATTGAAAACAGAATCTTCTACATTATCATACTTTACTACTTTACTCATTAACTTAATCTCGATGCTACGGTAGGATCGTTCATGAAGTTTGATAACGCTATCGCGCTATTGGCTCCAAGAACAGCATTGGCAGCGTTTGTGTCCATAGCGCGAATAGTGTCTCCGAATGCATTCCAAGAAGTTGGAATCAGGAAATTCAGAATCGTGCGCAATAAGTTTCTGCGCAGATGTTCGACGCTCGACGCTTGCATGTAATGGCACCTTTAAAGTGAGTGGAAACTGTAGCAGAAACATGTTGGAGCATGTTGGAACATGCGACGCGAACTAACCTCAGGTTTGTTCGCATCGCATAACTCCAAATTTACCCAGAGAGCACTTTGATCACAGATAAAGTGGCGGTTGGAGCAGTTGCATTCATGTGCTCCAATGTTCAGTGACACGAATAGGACAAGTGAGCCTGTCATCTAACCTAATCCGTGAGAACACACGAACGGATCGGACATGTGCCTCGGGAAATTGTGTTACTTCGATTATTTGAAAAGTGTTTTTATACAAAATAAATGCGTTTTTAATAAATATAAAAGTTATATTAATAAAATAAAAAGAATAATTAAATAAAATAAATTGCTATTGAGAATCAGCTCAGTCAACAATTTTATATAAAATGTCATTCCGAATGAGGATTTTTTCAACGATTATCGTACTATATTCTGTATAATTAAATGTCAATTTCTGATTAAAAAATTATTATATTTGTACATAACTCCATCAATTTCTATTTGATAGCATTTATTTGAGCGCAGTTGTAGACTCAGACATTATAACAGTTCAAATATACTATTTGTAAAATAGAAGTATTAAAAGAGATGAATATACGTTACGTGTTAACGAATCAATCAGTTGGATACATTATCATAAATATACAGATTATGAATTAAATTTAGGCGAAAAATCTGCATTAGCTCTGGAGCTCTATTCTTGAAAAAGAACTTATACGAAAGTCTAGAGAAATACTATAGTATACGTAACGTATACTGTAGCATTTCCCTAGATTTTCGTATACATTTCTTTTCAAGAACAGAGTCCGCGAATTTGGTCTTTGAATCCGAAGTCGAGCAACTCGATTAGCTCTAGAAATGTTAATACCGAATGCAGATGAAGATCATATAAGATCATATATAGGAGAAAGCAAGTTGCCGAATGATTTTCAAGATAAAACAAACGAACGCCTCCGATTTGCAATGCCGAATGTATTCTAGAAAATTCTATAGTATACATAAGGTATACTGTAGTATTTCCTTAGATTTTCATATACATTTCTTTTCAATAGGGGGCCTTATTTTTGTCTGCATATCTAGGAAATGAGAATGGATTGAAATGGATTCAGATTTTCAGAAATACGATTCATGAATATTAAAATTAATTCTTTTCCTAAATGTATTCTTATTCATTTATATGAATTGCATAATTTCTGTTACAGTCGAATGACAGGAATGTTGTAGTTGGTTGGTTCTTACATTCATATACAGATCCGGGTTAAACCCTCGAAAACTAGGCCAATGAGTAATAGTCAGTGGATTCAGAACAACAATCGTTCATTGAGCACTCAGTGAGCTCTTTCATCTGATTGGTCTATATTTTAGGATCTAAGAGAATATACCAATCTGAGCGTTCAGTGAGTGGTTGTCGTTTGCACCCAGTAAATACTAAACGCAACCACGATTGTTACGATACTCAATTAAAAAAAATCGATTTCTAAAAATATTGGTCAAAAATAACCGTTTTGACAAAAAAAAAATAATCGATTGCATCGATAAATCGCGTCAACTTTGCCGCGCGGCAAGCGTTGCTGCGTTCTGTGTGCAGAAGCCATAACCGTCTATGAGAGTCTATTCTATTATCTATAGGTTTAACGTAGAGAGTGAAGCGAAGAGAACAGCAAAACACAGTCCGAAGATATATTACAACGGTAATGGCGGACGAGGAGCTACCAGCAGGATGGGAGAAACGTCTCAGCAGATCGACTGGTACGTCGAAATCGATAATTTTTGCAGTCACAACCCCCACGGTGATCTTGTTAAGGCGCGAATCTCAACGAAGCATCGTGGAATCCACGATCTCATAGCCGCGCTTTACTCTCGGACAGATTACGGGCATCTCGACGTATAACATATCACTGATACTTATCAATTCGCAATGATCAAGAGAAGTGTCTGATACTCCTCGATGTTCCCACAAGTTTTTGTATTACGTATGTAGTCGATCGTAGTTGATGCGAATCTTTTACCGGTTTCTACAAAAAGTCGGAAGTCTTATTAATCAGTTGAGTTAATTCTACAATGAGTTTGTAGTCGGAGATTTTAGGTTTTATTCAATCTTAACCTAAATAGATAACTATTGATGAATTTGACACACATGTAGACTCTGCTTTGGTACTGCTGTAACATGAGGCCTGTCTTTTTGGCTGATCTTTTGCACTAGTTCATCTTTTTTCCTCTTCTTTTCTCCTGGAGAGAAAAGGAAGAAAGATGGTAAAAGTTAGCCAAAAAGAACAGAACTATGATGTAAGTGCAGAACCACTAGTGCTATGCACTGATGTCAAACTGCATTGTCAGAAACATCAGTGCAATATTTTTTGAATTCATTTGTTCAGTTCATTTGGTTAGTCCAAATGTAAATTTATTATACTGAGTCAGTTTTTATTTTGTATGACAATCCGAACGCATAGATATCGATTTGTATCTTTTTTCGTAGAACGAAAAGATGAAAAATGAAAATTTTTATGTATGTATGAACATATATCCACACACATTCAAAAAATTTTGAATTTTCATGTTTTTGCCCTAAGGAAAAAGATACATAATCAATACTCTGATACAATGCGCACAAACGAAATGTATGGCACTGAAAAAGTTCGCATTCAGTATATACTAGTACAGTTTGCAAATTCGCTATATGATTTTTCACATCTATAATTGTTAATTATATAGCAAGTCGTTTAGCTTGACTAATGGGAAGAAATAATATTGAATTTGACTAGGACTAGTTGTTCCATCTTTTGGTAAATTTACCTGTTGAGTAAGTAGTAATATTATCGCAAGTTATTAATTACATATTAGGTGTACAACTTTGCTTCCGCCGTTTTTTTCCGAAATTCGAGGCTTTATTGTAAAAAACTGGTTATACATTTATGATTCAAAGTATTGTCCATCGCTGGCCACTACTTTCTCCCATCTTTCGGGTAGCGTACGAATCCCGCGTCGAAAAAA